TGTGTGTGTGTGTGTGTGTGTGTGTGTGTGTGTGTGTGTGGCTGCGAGTTTCAGTTAGTAATACCAGGAAGGGGGATTGCTGAGCCCTTATAGGTGCATGTTAGGAAGCTCCAACCTCACAAGTGATTTGTGGAGGTGGCTGTGTGCATGCTCTGTAGTGGCCCAGACCCTTGCTGTTTTCAGGATTCATTCAGTTCAGAGATTCTACTAAGTGTCTGTTGGTATCTCCTGGTAGTTTTGATTTGAATTTTCCTAATTATAAATTTCCCTAATTAATTAATAATGTTGAACATTTTTATGTTTAAAGATGTAACACTGGAATGAATGAGCACTGTTCAGGATATCAAGTATAAAATAAACCCAGTCTGCCTCTGAAAAACCAAACCTTCAGCTCACTGTGTAGCAAGGAGTCAGCCTCCTCAGAACTCAGGGGAGGGACACTGTCCTTAATTTGTGTAACACTGAGCGTTTTATGACACCCCTGTATCTTTTCTGAAGTGTCTGTTTCAGTCTTCGTCCTATTAAAAAAAAAAAAAAGAAAGTAGTTTTTTATTATTGTTTGAGGGTTCTTCATGTATTCTGAATATAAGTCTTCAATCTGAAATACATTCTGTCAGTCTTTTGTTTGACTTTTTATTCTTGTATCAGTGTCTGAAAGTTAATTTTGATACAGATAAAAGTTTTCAGTTTATTTTTCTTCTGTGGATCCTACTTTTGGGGTAGGATCTAAAAACTGTTTACCTAACCCAAAATCACAAAAAGTTTTTCCTAGGTGCTTTATAGTTCAACACTGAAGCCTGTGATCCATTTTGAGCTTATTTCTGTATGAGGGGTGAGATATGGACCCAGGTTCATCTTTTTTTGCATCTGGACATCCAGTTGTTATCATTTGTTCAGCATCATTTGTAGAAAAAAACTTCTCCTTACTCAATTGACGTCCTTTGCAGCTTCATATAACATTAGCTTCCTGTGTTAATGCTGACCTGTTTTTACAGTCTCTGTGTGTGTCTATAGCAAATACCAGGCTGTCTTGATCACACTAGCTTTATCGTAAACCTCAAAAATGGGTAGTATACATTCGTCAACGTTGGTCCTCTTTCGCAATAATTTTCATCATTTTAGATTTTGATGATGGCTTGTTGAAAGCAGAATATCTTATGGAACGTTCTTGGACCTGCAGGTGAGCCCCTAGTGTTTTCCTGTGGGGCCTTCAGTGTGGGAAGGAAGGGCAGGATGGCGATGTGATGTGAGGGTTGGTATGGTTGCCAGCTGCCCCCTCTGGTGATACCTTGTGCTGGGCGTGGGGTGGATTTCCAGGTGGTTTTACTCCTTCTCTGTCTCCTAGCTGCCCTCAAACACTTCTTTCCTCAAACCTCCCCTCAGTGGGGTGGTGGAGAGGGTGGGGGCTTCTTTCCCAGCAAGCCAACATTGTACGTTTGCTCTTGGGGGTGGGTGGTTGGCAGTCCTGCCCACTCCCTTGCTGTGGCTGCCCCTATTTGATGGTTCCCTGGGGCAGTAGCGTTTTCTTCCCCTTCCCCCTAAGGCTTTTCCGTGGGGTGAGGCTGGGGAAGAGTCTGATGAGGAAACTCATTCCCAGAGCTTCCCAGCCAGGACTGCTGCTGTGTAACCAATGAAGACATCCATGAAGCCCTGGGGCCAGTGGAGAAGGTCGGAGGGAGGATCCGAGGCCCCCGGGCTGCACTCTGCTCTTCTTCCTCAGTCTGCATCTCCCCAGGACCCCCGTGGTCTCTGCCCCAAGGACAAGGGCTGGCTTCTCTGCAGTTGGGTTTTTCTCCCTGGGTTTTGGGCTTCATGGTGGCCCTGTGACCACAGCGTTCTGATACATTCAAAAGTCTTGAACTTGTGACTTGTCTAGCATGCTTTGCTGTGAATCCAAGAGGATTGTCTTTCTAGTTCCCCCTACCTGAGGAGGTGACCCAGAGTGTGTGTGGAAACCTGCAGTTCAGCAGTGACAGTTTGAACTCCGAGAAGATCATTGTCCTGCCAACCTAAATATGTATCATCTATTAGTATATTCCTTATAATTTATTTCCAGCAGCTTTTAAAAAGCTAATTAGCCTCTTTTTAAAAGGCAGTAAGTAAATTCATCATATCAAGAAAAAAAGAGCAATGAATGTATTTCCTTTCAGAATCTCCCTCTGTGCTTTCGGCTGCCTGGGTCTGGAGTCAGAAGGCACCTGTGGGCTGGTCAGCACTCAGACTCCAGGCAGGGACATCTAACCCAAGCACTTGAAATTGAATGAAAGAAAATATTAAGAATATAAGGCATTTGGCTGAATATTAATGAAACTGAAAAATGAAAGATACTTAATAAGATACATTCAAAGTAATGAGCTTCTTAATAAGATATTTAATAAGATATATACAAATTCATAAACTCCATTAAAAGATATTTAATTATATATATATATATATATATATATAAAGTCAGACCCATTAACATATTGCTGCTGTTAAATATGTTGATTGATATTTTTGTCTGAGTTTGATAACCTACACTGTTGCATTATTTCAAATGGATTATTATATGTATACATACAAACACATATCAACATGTAAAAATCTGTTCTAGACTGTCTAAATTATTCATTATTCATGAATGTGTACTTTGGAGGAGTTTTCTTTTTATAGATTATAAAATATAATTGAATAAAATTGTGGATCTTGTTTTACTTGGTCTAAGTTTTCCCAAATAGATGACTTTGAAATAATGAGAGGGACCTGAACATGGGAATTCTGAGTTTACTGAAGTTTTTATCGAATACTTTTTTTATTTTTTTGGGTACCTGGGATTGAACTCAGGGGCACTGGACCACACCCCCTGCCCTATTTTGTATTTTTTTTTTTTTTAGGGAGGGGTCTCACCAAGTTGAGAAGCGCTTGGCAGTTGCTGAGGCTGGCTCTGAACTCACGATCCTCCTGCTTCAACCTTCTGAGGCGCTGGGATCATAGGTGTGCGCCACCGCGCCTGGCACTTACCTAATGCTTTAAAATATTAAAGTGGCATCTTCTCTACTCAGTGCCTTTCATTCGTGACGCAGATCTACAGTGTCAAGTGATTCGTGAAGATGGTCTTGAGCACTGGGAACCTGCCAGTGTACAACATTGGCTCTCTAGAACCCTTAGGGTCATGCCCACACTTCATTGAAAAGCTTACAGAGCCCAGCACTCACTCACTCTTTTCCACAATTCTTTCTTCACAGTTTGCTCAAGGGTCTTTCTCCAAGCCTATGCAGGTGCTGTTGCCTTAACTAGGTTTTCTTCTCCCTTCCTGTGTGCCCCCAACCCTTGACCCTTGCTCTTCCTCCTCACCCCCCTCCTGGCTTTGACCTCACCAGCCTCAACCTCCACCCCCAGCTCCCCTGACCCCTTCCCACACCTATCAGATTTTTAATTTGAAACTTACTTAATGTCATTTTTTTCTTTAAACTATAAGCATCAAAAGAGCACATCTGTATCTCCAGCTACCTGGGGAGCCATGGTAGAAAGGTCATGAGATCAAGGTTAGAGCTCAGTGGTAGAGCACTTTCCTAGCATGCGCAAAGCCCTGGGTTCCATCCCCAGCACCACAAAAAATTTAACAGAGCAGGTCAGGACTGAGGCAGTTTTGCTCTTCAGCACACCCCCAGAGCTTGGCATGGTGCTCACAGTAGGTCCTAAGTCATGATGTTTTGGCAGTTTGGGATGGGAGACACATAACTTCAATACCCTGTGCTCATTGATATGATAAACAGTGATAGAATTGCTAACATAGAAAATGAGAGTTGATCATTTCTTATTGACACATTAGTAAGAAAACTCACTAATGCCTTGACAGCATTTAATAAAGATTTGACCCTAGAAAGTGACTCAACCTTGAAGACCAAGGAGAAGCCAGGTCCATGAGAGAGCGGGTGTGCAGACCGGGCACAGGAGGCTGGGGCAGCTGTCTGGTGAGGGTTACCGGGGAAAGCCACGCCTGGCTGGAGTCCCTGGGGAAGGGTGAGTGGCACAGTGGAGACTCCCTGGAGGGGCATAGAGGCAGGTGGGCCACCTGGTAGCTTGGGGGAGAGAGAGTAGGAGTTTGGACTTGAGTGATGCTGCTACAATGGATTAGGGGTTTTAGAAACATTGACTTTTGCCTGGTGAAAAGTTGGATCTTGGTGTCTAGGGTATTGAAGGATTGAGAAGAGAATTGTAGAAAATACAGTTTGTGAATGTCTGTTGTTCGGAACTGGATGGACTGTGTCTCCTTCACTGTGTTACCTGCTTAGCACCCCATTGGGCATTTAGACACATCAGGTAAATATTTGCTGAAAGCAAAAGAGCATTGTTTTATTTAGGAAAAACTTTCATTCAACAGCAATATGAATTGCAGAAGCAGGAAATACATTAATCGGTGGAATCAAACTTAATCATTTTTCTTTACTTTTCAATGTGAAACTATCAAATTGGACCTAGAATATAGTCATCTTCTTCCAGGCCTTTAAAATAACTGTGGTGACTTGTTATACACATGCAGTCATCTCGTGAGAGAAATGAAACACATGTAAATTCTGTGGAAGCCTTGATGCTGATCTTATTACGGTGGCCTGAATATTCGCTTTGCTTTGTTTTGTTTTCCTCTGCAACACGTTTTATGCCCTTGTCATAGATAATTCAAACTTTAACACCAATTCAAAATCCAGAAGGGAATATTGAACTCTAGGCTCCCCGTCCCTCCAGGCCTTCCTGGGTTATGCTGGGTCTCACTCTCACACGCAAGTACACTGTGCTGTGGAAGGTGACATCACTGGAAACGCCAGCTATTTAGGACCTGTTTTCTACTTAAAGTAAGGAATTGACGTTTATAACATTTTTGTCCTGAACATGTTTAAACATTTTGTCCTACAGTCTTTTGTAAACATTTGTAATTGGTACTACTACTGTTTGAGTACTGAGTGTGACATTGTCACCAGTAATGTTCCGGATGTGCTGTGGTGTCTTGCAGGTGTGTGCTGCTCCCGCTCCTGGGCATGGAGCCCCCTCAGCAGAGCCTGTTCCTGCTGGTGGACTCTGTGGATGAAGGGTGCAATGTCACTGAAGGAGAACAGACTGCCACTAGCTTATCTGGGACTGTCGCGGAACTGCTTGCTGGTCACCATGAGTTCTTCCCACCGTGGCTCCTGCTTCTCTGTTCTGCCCGAAAACAGAGTAAGGCTGTTACTAAAATGTTTACTGGTAAGCATACTTACTTACTGCCATCCGATGCTTCCACTGACCAGCAGCCGCTTGTTTTCTTCTGAGAGTGAAGTGTGCAGTTGGGAATCTGGGTGTTGCCCTTGCTGCTTCTGACACTGTTCTTAACTGTACCCTTCTACAGGCGTGTTAAAGATAGTCCGTAGCATGTTTTAAAGCCGTTTAAGCATTACTCTTTGCAGAACTCTCTTCCTAACTGCTTGGTTAAGGATGGTGGCACATCCTGCATGCTGCCTGCTCCGGCCCTGTGGGGCTACCTCCCTGCTGGCGTCCTTTGAACTAGACTAGTGTCTGAAGAGTAGTGAAGGCTCAGCGCCAGTCACTCTAGTGTTTTCCATGGTGTCTAAACAGAGACAGTTAAAAACGCTTTAGGATATCACTTGAAATATTTCCTTTCTCTTAACCTTTTTTGATAAGTGAGAAAACAGAGTACATAATACATGATGAAGATGGTTTTCTTCATTTCTATTCTTTTTTCTTCATCTTTGTACTTTTTAAACCAACCCTAACAAAGTCACGATCATGCCAATAAATCATATGACATGCTTCCTGTGCCCTCTGGGAGGTGAAGGAGCGTGAACAAAGGACCTCTCCCAGGACTTGGGTGTAGCTGGGCAGACACTGACTGGGGTCAAGACCGTGTCATTTTTGAGCAGTTCTGAGCATTTGGCAGCATGGCAGACTCTCCTTCATCTGTTCAGTGGCTTTATCACCAGCTTCGCTCCAGCTCAGCTCCTGCCTTAGGTCCCTGCTGCCAGTGCAGCACTGTAGGCTTCCAGGGGAGCCATTATTTTGGGGTGTTGATAAGAATTGAGGGTTAAAATGAGAATGGCTAACTCTGATGTCACACAACCTGCCGAACATGTACACGGGAGTTGAAGGCCCCTGGCTTGCATTCCCATGCCTTTCTCTCCTCTTGTTCCTTAGCCCACATGTCTATACTATGTGTTTTCATAGTTCACACCTACAAGACACTCCATGTACCATCTCAGCTCTACCAGGCGCTAGCTCTGTGACCTTGCACAACTTGCTTAATGCCCCGTATGCCTGTTTCCTCATCTACAAAGTGGAAATTACATAAAGTTAAATCACAAATTACGCGTGAAGCACTTAGGATATTGCCTTCCTAATACATACTAGGTGCTTCATGAATGTTGCTATTATTTCCATTTTATTCACATATTTAGCCAGTGACTTTTGAACTCTAATTACTGTTCATAAATCTAGGTCATTGGTCTCAACTGGTACCTAGTATCTCTTCCTGGAAATAAATCTTCTATTGTTTTTCCATTATCCTATTCATGGACATTTAGATTGTTTCCAGTGTCACTGAGTGAGCATCCCTAATCAGAAATACTCCAGAATCCAAAAGCTGTTGAAATGTGGACATGACGCCACAAGTGGAAATTTCTACACCATGAAACCATTTATCAACAAAATTATTAAGCATATTATATTAAATTACTTTCAGGCAGTATGAAGCATAAGTGGATTTTGTGTTTAGATGTGGGTCCTAATCCCCACAATATCTGATTATGTACATTCAAATAGTCCAAAACCTGAAAAAATTCAAAATTCAAAAACTCTGGTCCCAGGCATTTCAGAGAAGGTATGTTCAACCTGTATTGCAAAAACTACTTTAGGAATGTGCTTGTATATGGCTTCATGTACACATGTGCTAAAGATTTAAATCTATTCAAAGTTAGAATTGGAATTGCTGGGTCATAGAACATTTACATTGTGAACGCTACTTAATTTTATCAAATAATAGCTAGTGTGCTTGAAATAATTGACGCATCTACCAATAACATGAGATTTGCCATTTCTCTACATGCTCATCAGCCAACATCTGTTATTTGCAGATCCGCTCTTATCTGCTTTAGGGCATCTGCACTGATATTCTTCTGACTAGAATGTTCTTCCCTTGACTTTTTACCGCCTTTTTACTTGGACCCCTGCTCAAATATCAGTTGCACACAAGCTTCTGATTGTATTTCTATTCTAGTTTTCTTCTCTCCCCGCTACATGGTCATAAACTCACTATCTGGTTTTATTTCTTCATATATCCGATTACTGTTTAAAATCTGTCTATATTTTATACTTGTTTACTAAGCAGTCTGTCTTCTCCACTAAGATATAGTCAACATGAGAACAGGAGTTTTTCCTTGATCCCCAACCTCCAGAACAGAGCTTGGACTAAACTGCCATGCCTTGATTTGCAAATAAGTATCTTCTTTCAACTGTGTTTAGTGGAACAAGCAATGAACTAGGAATCGGGTGAAGCTAGATTATAGTCAGATTCTACCTATCCTCCCTTCTCCTCCCCAGTATACTAATTGTTAAAAATGGTGGGCTTTGTGTGGACATTTACCACCTCTGCTGTTGGTAAATTTTTAATTTGGGAGTAAAAGTTAAGAACATTACTGAGGTTATTAATAAGTACCATAAAATTGCTTTCTGAAAAGGCCATATTATATTTCTTCCTGAAAGTATGTGTGTTGCTTTCTTTGTATTTCCACCAGTATTGAGTTACATCTTTTTTTTAGTATTTGTTAATTTGCCACGTGAAAAATGTTATTTTATTTGGACTTCTTATTTACTGTTTAACTGTTCACTTATTTATCAGTTTGTCTTTTTTTTCTTTATCATTTTTGCTAATCTTTCTATCAAGAAGGTAGTGATTTTGTTATTGATTATTTTTAAGGTTTTTATTTCATATGCTTTTATTCTTTGTAACTATTTTCCTCAGCTTTTAAAAACTGTAATAATTATTTTGAAATCTGTTATATGTAAGCTAATTATTAGCCTTTATATTACATATTCTTTTATGTTTGATTATGTTATTCATATGGATATTTTGTCCTAAGTGGTGCAAAATAGGAATCTGGGATTTAAATGATTAGTTGGACCACATATTTTCTCAGCATCTTCTTGATTCCCTTTACTGTTGCTTGGCAAATTGAAAGAATTAGCCCATTCAAGACACCAAAAATTTACTTACAAAAATTTTTGCAGATTTTTGTACATATTGATTCTGATTATAAAAGTGACCCATGCTTACATAGAAACATTTTAAATGACAACATACACCAGCATTGATTCCATCACTTGGAGATAAAACACTGATTGAGCACTCTAACACCTTGTGTTCTTAGTGTTCCTACCTAGTTGAGCCCACGCTTTGTACCAGTTTGATTTCATGCTTTTTAAATTTAACGTTCATGAGCCTGTTAGCTACTTTTTGCTGTCTTTTTAATGGCTATTTTCATAGCTGCCTGATTTATCTGTTATTACATACTGGAATTCTCTTAGCTTCCTTTGGTCCCACTGTCAGGTTTGACTTTCATGTTCCCCAGCCACAGGTGCTCTTGGGGACATGTGGCAGTTGCAGTGGGCACCATTTTCTAAGCAGGGGTGCAGATCCACTCACCACCTCCAAATAAAATCAGCCCCTGAGCAGGAGCAGAAGTGACTCAGTAGCAAAGTGGCCCACGTTCTATTCCTCCGGAAATTGTGATCATTTTCAGCCTCATCTTGTAATTATTGAAAGTGCTTTAATATCAGTATACTAAATTGTATATGTTCATAATCAGGGATTACACGTGTATTTGTCAAAAGTCACAATTAAAAACGTTATTAATTTTAGTACCTTTAAAATTTTTTAAATGGTCGATTAATAATCTTATTTCTGTTTTTTTTTAAATTATTATTATTACTATTTTTAAAGAGAGAGGGAGAGGGAGAGAGAATTTTTTTAATATTTATTTTTTAGTTATCGGCGGACACAACATCTTCGTTTTGTATGTGGTGCTGAGGATCGAACCCGGGCCGCACGTGGCAGGCGAGCGCGCTATGGCTTGAGCCACATCCCCAACCCTTATTTCTGTTTTAATTAATAAATAACTTCTTATTAGTGACAAGCCTAATTTCTTCTGAATTCATATTCCCAATGTCTAGATCTGAGGGAGATTTATTTTTCATATTGCAAACATTTTGCATCTATTCTACATAATTAATTCCATCCCTGCTTCCTCCCTGTTATCTCCATGTCAAACATTCACTTCCTCTCAAAACTTTCTATTCCTATTTTCACCAAAACAGCAAACTTCAAAGTCAAACAGAGCTGTTAGAATCGTGGTTCTCTACTTATTCTGTGCTTTAGCTTCCTCATTTTAAAGTAAGCACTCTGGTGGCCCAGGGCTGTCAGGGAAGGCGTGTGTGGTGAGTGCTCCAAGTGCTTCCTTGAAGAGTAGACTCTCACAGAGCACTGTTTCCTTGCACGCCATTCTGCCAAACCTGTTCCTGTGGAGGTTGAGCCTGGGTTGTTTTAATTATGTCGCATTTTAATCCTGAGATCTTAATTAGCTTGAACTATAGATACTTACTCATAATGGGTGATATGATCGTTCTTGTGACTCAGACCATAGGTTCAGCACGTTGTATTTAAAACATTGTATAACATATAGGATACTCTTTTAGTACATTTTTAATTAGTGATGTGTCAGGTGTTTTCCTTTTTTATTTTAAATTGTTTTTAATGAATTTCTGAAGTCAAAAGCACCCAGACACATAGGACAGGGTTTGGAGGCTGTCACCTCATTTCACTGTGAATGCCTGTTGCTGTAAATTTCTAGGCATGTTTTAACTCCTCCTCAGTTTAAGTAGTGTTGTCTTTTTTTCCATAAGTAAAATTTGTGTTTTGAGATTATTTTTGTTGAGGATTTAATGATCACTTGTGTGTATATAAAATCATAGATTCTATTTTTTTTACATAGATTTAGGGCTGTGCAAATTTGTTATTTCCTCATGTTTCATTTTGGTAGGTTATGTTTTCCAATAAATATGTCCATTTCATCTAAATACTTAAAGCTTAGTATCACAGGATTGTCTAACAGTTTTCTCTAAAAATCAAATTTTTAATCTTTCCGTGATCTCTCTGGTCTGTCCTGTTGGCAAAGCCAGACATAATGCCTGCTTGGGCTCCTCCTTCCCCACAGTCACCCAGACCCCATAATCGGGGCTTGGGTTAGTAGTCCCAGGGTCATCCTTCTTCTTTATGTTTGCTGCTGCTGCCACCACGATTGTCAAACCCCCTGGGCCTCTCAGCTGGAATATCCCAGCTTCTCTGAAGGCTGTGGCCTCTACTCTTGACTGGATGCAGCTCCTCCCTGTAGATGTTGGGATGGTCCTTCACAATGCAGACCTGGTCACACTGCTGCTTCACCAAGTTCATGTGCTCCGCAGCTGCTTCTTCTGGAAGGCAAATATACAATTGTCTCAGGAATTCATGTCTGTAGATCATGAATGAAAATCATGATCAAAATGAAATTATGGTGCCCTTTAAAGAACTTAAAGTTTTAAATAGCTGAAACTAGTGTAATTTTAGGTTGATTTGAACTTTATTACGTGGCTTTGTTACTACAAAGCTAAAGTTTTGTAAGCATAATTTGACCAAGTTGCATCTTAATGTTCAAGCTGTTTATTGGCAGTCCAAATTTTAATTATTTTAATTTGATAATATGTAAAATAATGTAATTCAGAGGCAGTGGCAGGTGATATTCTAGTTGGGTGTAAATATTCAACCCCTTAGTTGAGGCTAATGTATTTTCAGGTATATGGTGGAGCTATATCCGTGATTTGTATGAAAAAGATCATGTAAAAACAAACTGTACTTGTGTGTCTGCTCCTCCTCATTTGGAAGTAAGTTTAGAACATCTTCAAAAGGCACTTTGCGAGCATGTCAGGCTGTGACTCTTGGTGAGGCTCCTGTGGTGGGGTCCAGAGGCCTCAAGCCACTAAAAGCCACTTGCCAATGAGAAAATGAGGTTATTTTTCTGTCATCCATGTGTTTTTGCAGAAAGAAAAGAAAACTGATTTACATACTGCCATGTATTAATAGATTTATTAGCATTAATTAGTTGATTTTTTTATTAGTTTGTTGTAAATTGAAAACATTCTCTTTAAAGATAAGGCTCCTTCCATAATACTTCCCAACTGAAGACATCTGCTTTTTTGTTCTTCTTCCAGGTTTTCGAAAAATCAGTTTGGATGACCTTCGGAAGGCGTACATTGTCAAGGACGTGCAGCAGTACATTCTTCATCGTTTAGACCAGGAGGAAGCTCTGCGGCAGCACCTCACGAAAGAAACTGCCGAGATGTTAAACCAGCTGCACATTAAAAGCAGTGGATGTTTTCTTTATCTAGAACGAGTTTTAGATGGAGTTGTGGAAAACTTTATTATGTTAAGAGAGATTCGTGACATCCCAGGAACTCTGAATGGTCTGTATCTCTGGCTTTGCCAGAGACTTTTTGTAAGAAAACAGTTTGCAAAGGTTCAGCCAATTTTGAATGTCATTCTTGCAGCCTGTCGACCTTTGACTGTCACAGAGTTATATCATGCAGTATGGACCAAAAATATGTCCTTGACCTTGGAGGACTTTCAGCGCAAGCTAGATGTCCTCTCCAAACTTCTTGTCGATGGACTGGGAAATACTAAGATCCTGTTTCACTATAGCTTTGCTGAGTGGCTTCTGGACGTGAAGCACTGCACTCAGAAGTATTTATGTAATGCAGCAGAAGGACACCGAATGCTGGCCATGAGCTACACCTGTCAAGCCAAGAATTTGACTCCATTGGAAGCACAAGAATTCGCACTGCATTTAATTAATTCAAATTTGCAGTTGGAGACAGCTGAATTAGCCCTGTGGATGATATGGAATGGCACGCCTGTCCGAGACTCTCTGTCCACTTCAATACCCAAGGAACAAGAAGTGCTGCAGCTGTTGGTTAAAGCTGGTGCTCACGTCAACAGTGAGGATGATCGCACGTCGTGCATAGTCCGACAAGCCTTGGAAAGAGAGGATTCTATCAGGACACTATTAGATAATGGAGCTTCGGTGAATCAGTGCGATTCAAATGGGAGAACGTTATTGGCTAATGCCGCCTACAGTGGCAACCTTGATGTGGTGAATTTGCTTGTCTCTAGGGGAGCAGACTTAGAGATAGAAGATGCTCATGGACATACATCTCTCACCCTAGCTGCTAGACAAGGTCATACCAAGGTGGTTAATTGTTTGATTGGGTGTGGAGCAAATATCAATCACACTGATCAAGATGGTTGGACAGCATTAAGATCTGCGGCTTGGGGCGGCCATACTGAGGTCGTGTCTGCACTGCTTTATGCTGGTGTAAAAGTGGACTGTGCCGATGCTGACAGCCGAACAGCGCTGAGAGCGGCAGCATGGGGAGGCCATGAGGATATTGTTCTCAACTTGCTACAACACGGTGCTGAGGTTAACAAGGCTGATAATGAAGGTAGGACTGCTTTGATCGCAGCAGCATACATGGGACACAGAGAGATTGTGGAACACCTGCTGGACCACGGAGCAGAAGTCAATCATGAGGACGTGGATGGCAGAACCGCGCTCTCTGTCGCTGCACTTTGCGTGCCTGCAAGTAAAGGGCACGCATCTGTCGTTAGCCTTTTGATCGACCGAGGTGCTGAAGTGGATCACTGTGACAAAGACGGCATGACTCCACTGCTGGTAGCTGCCTATGAAGGACATGTGGATGTGGTGGACTTGCTTCTGGAGGGAGGGGCTGATGTCGATCACACAGACAACAATGGCCGGACACCCCTGCTGGCAGCAGCTTCCATGGGTCATGCTTCAGTAGTAAACACACTTCTGTTTTGGGGTGCAGCTGTGGACAGCATTGATAGTGAAGGCAGGACGGTCCTCAGCATAGCTTCAGCACAAGGAAATGTTGAGGTGGTACGCACTCTGCTGGACAGGGGGCTGGACGAGAATCACAGAGACGATGCCGGCTGGACCCCTTTGCACATGGCAGCCTTTGAAGGTCACAGGTTAATATGTGAGGCGCTCATTGAACAAGGTGCTAGAACAAACGAGATCGACAACGACGGCCGGATCCCCTTCATCTTGGCTTCACAAGAGGGTCACTATGACTGTGTTCAGATATTATTGGAGAATAAATCCAACATTGATCAGAGAGGTTATGATGGAAGAAATGCACTGCGGGTCGCTGCCTTAGAGGGACACAGGGACATTGTCGAGTTGCTGTTCAGCCACGGCGCTGATGTGAACTACAAAGACGCAGATGGCAGGCCCACACTTTATATCCTGGCCTTAGAAAACCAACTGACGATGGCCGAGTATTTTTTAGAAAATGGTGCAAACGTGGAGGCAAGCGATGCTGAGGGCAGGACAGCGCTCCACGTTTCCTGCTGGCAGGGCCACATGGAAATGGTGCAGGTGCTCATTGCTTCCCACGCCGATGTCAATGCTGCAGACAACGAGAAGCGCTCGGCTCTGCAGTCGGCAGCCTGGCAGGGCCACGTCAAAGTCGTGCAGCTGCTGATCGAGCATGGGGCCGTGGTGGACCACACCTGCAACCAGGGTGCCACTGCTCTCTGCATCGCGGCGCAGGAGGGGCACGTCCATGTGGTCCAGGTCTTACTAGAGCACGGTGCTGATCCTAACCACGCCGACCAGTTTGGACGTACAGCTATGCGTGTTGCAGCCAAAAACGGACATTCTCAAATCATTAAATTATTAGAAAAATATGGTGCCTCTAGTCTGAACGGCTGTTCCCCATCTCCTGTTCACACAATGGAGCAGAAACCTCTCCAGTCGGTGTCTTCGAAGATGCAGTCGCTCACTATCAAGTCCAACAGCTCCAGCAGCACCGGCGGCGGGGATGCGCAGCCGTCCCTGCGCGGCCTGCCCAACGGGCCGGCACACGCCTTCAGCTCGCCGTCGGAGTCTCCCGACTCCACCGTGGACCGGCAGAAGTCCTCCCTGTCCAACAATTCCCTGAAGAGCTCAAAAAACTCCTCTCTGAGAACGACTTCCTCCACGGCGACAGCGCAGACGGTGCCGATGGACAGCTTCCACAGCCTGTCCTTCACGGAGCAGATCCAGCAGCACTCGCTGCCACGCAGCCGCAGCCGCCAGTCCATCGTGTCCCCGTCCTCCACCACGCAGTCCCTGGGACAGAGCCACAATTCCCCGAGCAGTGAGTTCGAGTGGAGTCAAGTGAAGCCCAGCCTGAAGTCCACCAAGGCAAATAAGGGGGGGAAATCGGAAAATTCCAGCAAATCCGGGTCAGCTGGGAAAAAGGCCAAGCAGAGCAATTCTTCACAGCCAAAGGTCTTAGAGTATGAAATGACCCAGTTTGATAAGAGAGGACCCGCGGCCAAGTCTGGGACGAGTGTGCCCCCTAAACAGACACCAGCGGACCCCCAGTGCAAAAGCCTGGTGCCCTCTGCCCAGCAGCAGCTCCTGCTCCACCAGCAGGGTGGGGAGCAGAAGAGGAGAAACGGGATCCTGACAAACCCCAACTACCACCTCCAGAGCAACCAGGTGTTTCTTGGTAGGGTGCCAGTCCCACGGACAATGCAGGACCGAGGGCACCCCGAGGTGTTGGAGGGCTATCCCTCCTCGGAGACGGAACTCAGCCTTAAGCAAGCCCTGAAGCTTCAGATCGAGGGTGCCGACCCCAGCTTCAACTACAAGAAGGAAACGCCGTTGTGAAAGGTGGGACCTGGTCGGCCTAAAGTATCTGCACCCCGAAGTTAGCTCCCTTGGCTGGGTGCTCCCCTGCCTCCCCAAGGCCACTCCACCTTCCAGTCTCCCAGCCAGACCTGCCCTGCCCCCTGGAGTGGAGTCCTCCCCCCATGTCACCCCGCCCCCCTCCCTGCAGGTGACCTGCAGCCCATAGGCCTGGCACAGCCACAGTCATTTTCCCACTGTGTTCTCGGTTGGTGTCCCCACCTGAATTGTAGGCTCTGGGAGGGTTAGTGCTCTGCCCACTGCTATCTTATGTCCCTGGAGTAGTGTCTGGCCAGTCTAGTTTCCAGGAGGAAGTGGACATGCCCTGTGTGTTCAGTTACCCCCTCTTGGGAGATGCTGATAGGTGAGGCTGTTCTGTATATTCATCCTGCTGCTTGGAAGAAGAGTGTTTGTAATGCGTAGTAGATAGTTGGCCAATACTAACTCTGTTCCTACTCAGAAAGAAGTTTACTCAGTAAAAGGTAGTTTGTTATTATGACAGATCTCTTGAGAATCTCCCAAAGTCATATTTTCACATACTGAGCAAAGAATTGAGAGGTGGGAATCGGATGGTTGGCAAGGTGGGTGTGTGGAGCCCATTGTATTCAGGTAGAACAGTACTTTTTAATTGTAAAAACCTTTCCCCTTCCCACAAAAGGTACTTTGCTGATTATATAGGGGAAGTTGGTGGGAAAATAGGTCTACAGTTTTTATGTTACAGATATTTTTTTCAGAATCCTATTTCCCATGTTGGAGATAAATCTGAAGATTTCATTAGGAATCTTTTCTGGTTCATGTTAAGCTACATTGATCCTACTTTGCTTAACTGATTTTCTTCCTTTAGCAAAATTATACTCTAGCAAATTGCAGTCTCTTTCTTGCTTCTTTTGTCTTTGGGACTATCTTCCAATAATAAACATCCCTCAGTTTGAATTTATGGATGACCAGGCAAATGTCACTCAAAAATAATCTGTATAAAATAGATAATTCATTCTCCACGGTAGCTTATTTTAAAAATAGGTACAGCCCTCCAGCTGTCATCCACGTCTTTTGTAAAGGCACAAGTATAAACATATATTAAATACAGTAAACCACATGAACTAAGGTAGATGTATTATGGAGCCTTTTAAATTAAATAATGAATCTTTAGATTATTAAACTTGTACTTTATGTGATAAATATTTATAGTTAGATTGATATGCATATTCTTATGTAGAGTCTTAAAACTATATGTAGTTTCATGGTAAGTGTAATGTGGACATTCACTCTTTCTTATTTAATGTTTGCCTAGTTCCTGCTCTGAGAGTCAGAGGCTTTGTGGTTGGAGTGGCTCTTCACCTTCCGGGATAAGAACATAAACCGCCAATGGTGTGCTGAGAGAGAACGAAGAATGTGCTATCTGCAGTACAGTTACCTTAATTACTGTAATGTGCCTAAATAGTAAGGCTGCCTTCTCAGTGTAACCCTCTGTGCTTAAGAACTTTCATTTTGTGTGCTTTGTATTCACTACACAGAAAAAGCACTTTTTTAAAAGATGCAGATGTATACTACAGTTCCCTGATAAAGCTGAAAACAATTTTGAATAAAGTATTTTAAGTTAAGATTTGATAAATGTGCATGTGCCATGGTCAAATATATATGAAAGGCAGTGTTTTTTGTATTTATTTTCTTTTTTGTGGCAAAAGAACCTTATGCGCAGTGTTCCGGTCACATCGCATTGTAGTGCGTGGCCTGTTTCCTGTATTTTTTAAAATGTCACTCAATAAAATGAATCTTGCAACTGTTTTATGTTCACTGCCCCTTCAGCATTGGCTAAAATGAGTTTCTGTATGAATGCCACGTCTAGGTGAAAAAAAAATTTTTTTGACAGATTCTCAAACAGCATATAATTTTTAGTAGTTTAGGGAGCTGCTCCATGTAGTTTAAATCTGGATTGTCACAGTAGGATGCTCCCTATGTCTGGCCCAAAGTATCCAAACGAGCAAATAAGTCGGCAGAACAGAGTTCCATTTCCTTCCGGGATGTTGTTTGCCTCCCGCTTGCTGTCCTTCCACCTCCAAGACCACAGACTCATTCCCGAGGCATGAAAATTCTCAGGGACAAAGCCATGCCTCAGTCGCATGCGTGCGCAGAGGGAGGTGCACCTGTCTCTCGTCTGAGGGTAGAATTTTTGATCCCTGAACAATTCATTGACTACCCTCATCTCTTCTTTGAAGCAAAACAAAATGTAATTTATCAGTGTGAAGGTTTATGTGGCTTCTCTCTCAGCTTCTCTACTTTTAAATCACTGCATGACCACAACAGCCCCTCTCAGAATCAAGTGGGTCCATGCCCTGGCTCAGTTGGATGGTGATGATTGTGGTGTGTTCTGTCAGTCCTTCATGGATGAGGCCTCTAACCTTGTCATAGCACATGTGTATTTCTTATTATTTAACAGAACTGTTGGATCTGCACTTTCCTATCCATGTGCTCTTTCCTATGTTTTTTGGGCAGTTGCATTCAGGATGGCCAGGTGGCAAGATGAGGGGAGAAGTCTGTGACTAAAGAAAATAAATTTGGTGCCGATGAGCATGTGACCCATAGCCCTAGCCTCCTGGAGGCCCTCGACACCAGTGGGGCCAGAGTGGAGGGACTGGTCAGCATAATGATTTGGCAACCACAGATGTGGATTGGATCTCTGGGTGAGTCCTGTTAGTCCTACAGACCCCAGAAATTCTGTTCTCTTGATAAAGAGGAATGAGGAAAGAGAATTTGGAGACAGCACAAAACCATTGCTACTACTGAAGAAAAAAAATCTTTCAAACATTTGAATCACAGAGATCAGTGGTGTCATCGTAGATGAAGGACACATGTAATGCTTTGTTCATGGGAACAGAAATGTACAACATATGATGAATGTTTCCCACTTGAATCTGTGTGTAAGGCTTTCTTGCTTTTGCTTTTTAAAGTCAGTACGACCCATTGGCCTGTGTCATTCGTAAATCATAATCAGAGCAAGGAGAAGAGAAGTTCAGTCGAGATTAAGGTGACATGGCAATATTGATAACTCGAATGTGAATGTTTCAAGTATCAGACTCTTGTCCCTATGGGACATATATTAAATACACTTAATAGGACTCTTGCAAAGTAGCCTTAAAAGTGTCAATGATGCTATTAATGCCAACATGCTGTTATTGGAACCGACTTTCCTCATGTCTCATATAGTACATTTGCATCACTTTAAAGTACAAAGCTCTCATTTCTTATTAGGTGTATTTTTCTTCAGAAAGAGAACCTTGAAAGCTGCCAGTTTTTCTATTAACCTTGAATTATTGAAATTGTATTTATTTAATATTATTGTTTTTACAAAATTGCACCTTGTGGCCAAAGGGCAAAGAGATGGCTCATTGTGTTAGGGATTTTTCAAAGAGCTAAATGTCTTCACATCCATCCTTTATACATTTGGAACAGTTGGTAGGAAGGGAGCCAGTTGGGAAAATGTGATTTTCCTAAGAATTCCTCTGGATGTTTTTTATATAAATGATGTTTTGGAATAGAATGAAAGGGACTCAGTGGTATAAGAATGATAAGGGTGTCGGAGGCGCCCTGCTTCGCTTATTTGTTTCTGTGGGGGAGCTCAGACCATAAGTGAAAAATGGCCTCTGCTCTATTAAAAAGTAGGAACAGTCCTGCAAATATGAAGGTCCTAAATAGCTATTTTTGAAATTAAAAAGTTTAAATTTTGTAAATCAGCTGTTGCTACTCCATGACTTAGGATGCCATGTGCTTAAAACATTTTTATTGCATTCCATCACACCATCCCTGAAGCCAGAGTGATGGTACGGGAAGTGAGAAAGTACAGGAACGAAAAATGAAAACCTAATGTTTCTAGGAAAGGTTTGGGGAGGAAAATTGACCAGAAATCAGTGTCTACTACAATGCACAGCCAGTGTCTCGTCCGCACCCCACCAGAATCCTCACCAAAAACCACTCCTTCCACAGCAGAAGTCAAAGCCTCTCCGTGTTTTGGCTGTGCAGGTGTTCATTCTGCTGGACGTCCTCCTTTTACACTTTCTGCAGATGTGGTTGCAGACAAATGCTTTCTTTTTATTTTTCCCTTGTTTTGGGGTATGTAAATAGCCTAAAATGTACATTGAATTTCACATTGTAAAAGTTTTATTTTATTCCTTGTATTATATTATGCAAAAATCCCTATGTATATGAAAGTGCATAATAAATATATTTGCATTACAGAAGAGATCTTGTTTTAATTTTGTTATTGAACTAGTAGAATACCCACAATGTAATTGTAATAAAAAGAACCCTTAGTTGTTTAAAGTTAACATTTTAAAATGTTGAGTGAATTAATTTGGGAATATTTTCAAAGAAAAAATGAAATGGACACTGTCCAAAGAGAGAAAAACAAAAAGATTTAACCTTTATATTATCCCAGAGCTTCTATAACAATTTACTCTCCTTTCCCCTCCCCGCACTGAGACATTATATCTCACCATGTCAAATGTGATACCTTCGAGAACTGCTATAGTCAAATAAATTGTGTACACATGCACTCCTTGGTTGTTAGAATATCACAACAACCTTACGCTGAAGAGTTTTTAAGTTTTTTTGCAAAAAATGACCATTTTACAAATAGGATCTATGTGCTCATCACTCAGAGAATTTGAGTTCCAGCCTATTGCCCCTACCAGGACACAAACGTACCTGTCTGCACTTCCTGTAAGTATACATTTCCACCTGTGTATGTGAGTGTACCTTTTCCCCACATCCTCACCAACACTTAATATTATGTGTATGCTTGATAATTGCCTTTCTGACTGGAATGAGAGGAAGTCTCAATGTAGTTTTTCAGATTGTACAGATCTTCTAGCCCTCAAAAGAAAGGCTTCAAAAAAGGCTAACATCATTTTCTATTTAGTAATTTTATAATTCTAGTGTTCTGCGATGATTCCTGTAATTGCATTCTATATAAACTTGTTTGGTTAATAAAAATCTTAATCCAAATGTGTTTAAAAACAGAACATCTAAACACAAATGGGCAGTGTACATAGAAGCGTTCATTAGTACATTAAAGCCATACATAATATTGGGGTTCATTTTGATATAATCATACATGGAATAAAATTTGTTCCAATTCATCCCCCAGTTCTTAACCCTTTCCCTCTCCATCTTTTCACCACTCTGTTCCCTTTCCTCTACTCTACTGGTGTTCCTTTTATTTACTTGTAGTTTTTAAAAAAATTAGTGCTTTATAGATACACATAAAGGGTGGAATTCACTCTGGTATATTCATATGTGTACATTGCATAATTTGGTCCATTTCACTGTTCCTCCATTTTCCCATTCCTTGTCCCTCCCCATGAAGCCCCTTCCTCTACTTTACAGATCTGTTTTAATGGAGTCTCCCGTTATTTTGGTCTAACTTCTGCATATGAGAGAAAACATTTGACCTTTGGCTTTCTGAGTCTGGCTTCTTTCATTTAGCATGATATTCTGCAGTTCATCCATTTACCAGCTAAGCCATAATTTTATTCATCTTAATGGCTGAGTAAAACTCCATTGGGTATATATACCACATTTTCTTAATCTATTCATCTGTTGACAAGCACCCAGGAATTGTGCTACTGTAAACATTGATGTGGCTGTATCACTGCAGTATGCTGATTTTAATTCTTTTGGATAAATACTGAGGAGTGGCACAGCTGGGTCATATAGTGGTTCCATTCCTAGTCTTTTGAAGACTCTCCATACTGCTTTCCAGAGTGCTTGTATTAATTTGCAATCCAACCAACAATGTGTGCCTTTCCCCCACATCCTCACCAGCACTTACTATTATTTGTTTTCTTGATAATTGCCTTTCTTACTGGAGTGAGAAGAAATCTCTGTGGTTGTATGATTTGCATTTCCCTGAATGCTGGTCATTTGTATTTCTTTTGAGAAGTCTCTATTTAGTTCTTTTGCCCGTTTATTATTGGGATTATTTGAGGATTTCTTGTTCATTTGATTGTTCAGTTTTTGAGTTCTTTATATATTCTGGCTATTAGTCCCCTGTCTAAGGAGTAAGTGGCAAAATCTCCCCTTCTGTTGGCTCTGCTCTGAGCAGAAGCTTATTGAGTCTTGGTTTTCTTTTGTATGCTTTAAGAGTCTTGTTAAGGCAGACAATGCCAATGCTAATATATTGGAGTGTTAGCCCTATGTTTTCTTCTAGTGGTTATGGAGTTTCTGATCTAATCCATAGGTCTTTGATCCATTTTGAGTTAAATGTCCCTCCCCATGAAGCCCCTTCCTCTACTTTGTGCAGAGAGGGAGAAAGAGGGAAAGAGAGCAAAGGATATCTAGTTTCATTGTTCTACACATGGATATACAGTTTTTCTAGCACCATTTGTTTGAAGCTACCTATTCTCCAAAATATATTTTTGGCACTTTTGTTGAGTAGCAGATGACTGTATCTATGTGGACTTATTTCTGTGTTTTATATTTCATTGGCATTCATTTCTGTTTTGATGTTAATACCATGCTGTTTTTGTTACTATGGCTCTGTAGTTTCATTTGAGGTTCTATATTGTGATACCACCAGCATTGTGCTTCTTACTCAGGACTACTTTGGCCATTCTGGGCCTCCTGTTCTTCAAAATGGATTTTAAAACTTTTTCTAGTTCTATAAAAAATATCATTGTTAATTTTATGGGGATTGCACTGAATGTGTATCCTGCTTATGGTAGTATGGACATTTTGATAATATTAATCTTGCCTATTCGAACAATGGGAGGTATTTCCATCTTCTAAGGTCTTCTTTGAATTTTTTCTGTGGTGTCCTATTGTTTTCATTATAGAGAACTTTCACCTCCTTGGTCAGATTAATTCCTAAATATGTTGTTTTATTATTTTACTTTTTTATGTTATTGTGATTGGGATAGTTTTTCTGATTTATTTTTCTACAGAATCACTCTTGGAGTATAGGAAAGCAGTTGATTTATGAATGTTGATTTTGTACCCTGCTACTTGACTGAATTAATTCAGCAGCTCTAGAAGTCTTCTGGTGGAAATTTTTTTGGAGGGGTAGGGATCTTCTAAATATAAAATCATGTCATCAGCAGACCCATATAAATTGACTTCTTTTTCTATTTTCACCCCTTTAATTTCCTTCTCTTGCCTGATTGCTCTGGCCAAAGTTTCAAGAACTGCCAATGTCTGACTGGGCACAAGATCAGGAGATACTCACAGCTTTGTAGATTCAAACAGCAATTCTTTATTCCCGAACTCACACCGGACTCTACACACGTTCTGGGGAAATCCCAGTTCTGCCCGCCAATTCACGTCCCCAAAACTTTCTCAATTCCATGGGAACTCAATGGGAACTCAGGCAGCAGGAACGCCCTATTCCCAGCAGCAATAAATTTAAAATTTACTGGAAATTCCCTAAAACCAGATTGTCTTAAACCGGGAACACCCTAAACCCAAGGAGTCGGATGCTTCCTCAAACCTGCAGGATACACCTTAAACCTGGATCCACCCTCATCCTTGAGCAGGGTCACCTTTCTCAAACACACATGCAAGGTCACAGCGGATTTCCAAGGCAAGTCCATTTAACATGGGGTACGCTGGCAAGGAAATTTCAATGCATCATTACTACTTGGCAATGGCCCTCAGCAAAGAACCATATTGACTAGAAGTGGTGAGAGTGGACACTCTTGTCTTGTTCCTAATTTTTAAGAAAATCCTTTCACTTTTTTTTCATTCAATATGATTTTGGTCTTGGTTTGTCACATATAACCTTTACCATGTCGAGATAAATTACTTCTATCCCTAGTTGCTCTGATGTTTTTAACATTTTCTGCATCTATTGAGATAATCATGTGATTCTTGTCCTGAACTCTATGTGGTGAATTACATTTACTGATTTGCATATATAGAACCAATCTCGTATCTGGGGTAAAACCTACCTGATCATAGGGTACTATCTTCTTAATGTGTTTTTGAATGGGATTTGCTAATGTTTTTGTGTCTTTGTCCATGTTAGATATTAGTCTGAAGTTTTCTTTCCTTGATGTGTCTGTCTGGTTTTGGTATGAAGATGACGATGCTAGATTTATAGAATGAATTTGGAGTGTTTCCTCCTATTCTATTTCATGGAATAAATTGAGGAGGATTGACATTATTTCTTCTTTAAAGTTCTGGTAGAACCCTAATGAGAATCCATCTGGACCTGGGTTTTTCTTTGTTAGTAGGCTTTTAACTGCTGCTTCAATCTCTTTGCTTATTATTGATTTTCTAGATATCATCTCTAATTTGTTAATTTGGGTCTTCTCTTTCTTTTCATTGTTTGGCTTACAACTTTATCTGTTTATCTTTTCAAAGAACCAGCTCTGTTTCATTGATCCTTTATATTTTTTTATTCTCAATTTTATTAATTTCAGCTATGATTTTAATTATTTCCTATCTTCTACTGATTTTAGAATTAGTTTGTTCTTTATCTAGGGCCATGAGATGTAGTGTTAGATTATTTATGGGTAACTTTCTTTTTTTTTTTTAATGTAGCAACTCAGTGCTGTAAACTTCTCTTGTAGAACTGCTTTCATACTGTCCTAAAGATTTTGATATGTTGTATCATTGTTCTCATTTGCTTGTAAGAATTTTCATTGCTCCCTTGATTGCTCCTGTGATCCATTCCTCATTGAAAAGTATTATTTAATCTCCAAGTATTAAAATGTTTTCTGTTTTTTTATCTTGTTATTGTTTCCTAATTTCATTTCATTATAATCTTACAGGATGCAAAGAATTATCTTTTTTTCTTGTATTTGCTAAGATTTCCTTTATGCAAAAACACACACACACACACACACACACACTCATTTCAGAGAAAGCTCCATGTACTGCTAGCGAGAAGAATTTAGATGTCATTGAAGGAAATATTCTATAGATATGTGTTAGGTTCATTTGATTAATAATGTTTTTTAGATCTTAAGAGTTTTTACTTAGTTTATTTCCAGGGGCCCACTATCTAATGCTGAGAGAGACGTGTTGAAATCTTCTCGTATGACTATATTGTGGTCTTTAACCCAGGGACACTTTAACCCATTAGACCACTTATTGTGGTCTAATTTATTGGTAATGTTATACACTGAATTTCTACATGCATCTTGTATTTGGATTTCACTAATCATCCCCAGCCCATTTTTTTTTTTAATTTTTAGTTTGCTAACAGGGCCTCACTAAGTTGCTGAGGCTAGCTTTGAAC